GAGTTTTGAGTTTTGTAGAAGAATATTTGATAGGCGATCGATTTAGTCTTGTTACTAATAAATCCCAGTTAATAAACATGCATGCTGTATCTGCCATTTGATCTATTTGCATAATAATTGATCGCAAAACAAAACTAAAAATGGATCATGCTTGATTGGGTCATTTTAGAAAATACGAAAACCATGTACCAAGAAAAATTGATTCTTTATTTGCATGGAAAGAACGCACAAAGAAAAATTGATTCTTTATTTGCATGGAAAGAACGTACAAAGAAAAGAACAAGTTCCACGTTGTTTTCACGTTAAGGATCGAATAATTAAAAGTATTGGATTCATAATTTTCTATATTTAGTGTAATTTGTTAGAAGCTTGATTTTTGTATAGCAAATCAATTTAAAAAGACCTTAGTAGAAAAGTAACAAAGAAAGACTTGAGAGCAACCATGGATTCTGTTGCTGGATTTCGTCTTACAGAAAAAGATGGTAAACTATTTTTCGTAATTCACCACCCAAATTTTCATCCCATTTCACAAACAGAAAGCCCAACCTCCTCCGATGAAGCAGTCCGCCACGACCACCGTCTTCAAACTCTGTTCTTATGTCCTTCTGTACGATGGCGAAAGCCCGACTACCTTCAAAATTACCGTAACACCACTTTCCCGCTTACTTCTTCCTACGAGTACGTCCGCTCTACATCAAGAACTCAGCAGGACGAGTCTTCGGTTGAATACCGAAGGGATATTGTGCATCATGTAAGTCCTTTGTTTTGGTGCAACAATAAAGAATTGGATTTCGATGGTGGGTGCAATGCATGCAGCGGTGGTTACTTTAGCACAAACTATTATTTATGTGAATTGAATAATGTGATATATCATAAAGAATGCGTCGAGTCTCCACTTAAAATCAAACACCCTTACCATCCTGAGCATTATCTCCAACTTTGCTTTCGTGATTATAATATTTTTTTAAAAAACAAGCTGCCTGAGTGCTTATTTTGTGGAAGAGTCGGTGTCTATTTGATATACCATTGCTTCATCTGTGAGGTCTTCATGCATCCAGTATGTGCGATGCAGCCGATACCCTTTCTTATAGACCAACCAAAAAGGCATTATAACCATCCTCTTAGCTTTTTCCCCAGACAAACTTCCTTAGTTTGCAACATTTGTGGTTTGTTGAGAAAATATCCTACCTACATTTGTGCGAGATGCAATTTTGTCGCTCACAAAGATTGTGTGTATTCTCCAAGCATCATCAAGATATCACGTCACCACCATCGTATCTCCTACAATTCTTCTCTTCGATCCGAAAAATGGTTTTGTGGAGTTTGTCGTGAAATTATTGATCCTGATTTTGGTGCATATACTTGTGACAAGTGTAGTGATTATGTTGTTCATTCAAGATGTGCTCTAGGCAAAGATGTGTGGGATGGAGAAGAACTTGAAGGTGTACCAGAAAAAGACGATACAATACAAGATGCTAAGCCGTTTGATATGAAATCTGAAGGTGTGATACTTCATTTTCTTCATGACCATCATCTCTTGTTCGAGGTCAATATACTTTATGACGAAAAGAACCTTTGTCAAGCATGTGAACTGCCTATCTATGAAGATAATTTCTATTCTTGTATGAAGTGTAGTTTCATCCTACATGAGTCATGTGCAAATGTTCCCCGCATGATACAACATGCTTTACATCCTCACCCACTTACATTGAAGGCTACTAGTGGATATATAACATCTGAATTCGAATGCAATGCTTGTGGTTGTGATTGTGATGGTTTTGATTATCAATGTCGGATAAAAGATTGCACATTCGATCTAGATGTACGGTGTGCTTCAATTTCTGAGCCGTTCGTTTACAAAGGTCATGAACATGCATTGTTTCTAGCTTTAAATCCAACCAAAAAGCCCATATGTCAGGTATGCAAAACCAAATGCATTAGGCAACCATTAAATTGCATCAAATGTGATTTTATTGTTTGTTTTAAATGTGCCACCTTACCATACAAAGTAAGATATAAGCATGACAAGCATTTCCTCACTGTTTTATGGGGGGAAAGGGTGTGTGAAGACGATTGGTGTGAAATATGCGAATGTAAATTCAAAGATACAAGCACAAATGTGTTATATTGGTGCAACGAGTGTTGCACTATTCTTCATATAAGATGCTTATTTGGTAGAAATCCATATTTGAAGTCTCGTCATCGATACAAATTCTTCTTGGAAGGAGGTTCAAGTTCTTCGCAAAAGTAATCTTTCTCGACAGTTATGTGACGTTTTTTAAGAGAGACTACCAAATACATGTTCTACGAAATGTGGCTATAAGATATTTTAAGTTTTCACTAAAGATGTATGAGAGCATTCGATGGGTTGTATATCCTTATAAATAAATTGTAATCCTTCTAAATAAATTGTAATTTTCTTTAAGGGAGATTAGTTAGAATAACATTTTTTTCTTTTTAAAATAGTTAGAATAATTTTACTATTTTTTTATTGCTGAAATAACTTATTTTAGATTTTTTTTCTTTCATAATACCAAAATTGTCCTTCACAGACTCTGCCGAGGTATTGGCAGACTCTGCCGAAACATTGGCAGACTCTACCGATGTATTAGCAGACTCTATCAATATCTAAAAATACGCAGACTCTGCCGAACATTGGCAAACTCCGCCGAAGTATTGGCAGACTCTACCGAGGTATTGGCAGACTCTGTCAAATCATTGGCAGACTCTGCGGAAACATTGGTAGACTTTACCGTGTATTGGCAGACTTTGCCGAACATTAGCAGAGTCTACCAATGTTCGGCAGAGTCTGCCAATGTTTCGGCAGAGTCTGCGTATTTTTAGATATTGGCAGAGTCTGCCAATACATCGGTAGAGTCTGTCAATGTTTCGGCAGAGTCTGCCAATGTTTCGGCAGAGTCTGCCAAGGATAATTTTGGTATTATGAAAAAAAAATCTAAAATAGGTTATTTCAGCAATAAAAAAAAATGATAAGGTTATTCTAGCTATTTTAAAAAAAAATAGGTTATTTTAGATAATTTTTTTTTTCATTACTTTTGGTTTGATTTTTCGATATGTTAACTCTTTGCAACTGTCATTTTTTAGAGTTGGCTCAAAGGTTATCTATATAAAAAGTTATTAGTATCTTTAATACTTAAAGAAAAACAAATCACGAGAAAGAATCTACTAAACACACTAGTACAATTTTAAATGCAATAAAAATATGAATATACAACTTATTTACTAACATTTTAGTGTTTTAAATGTTATATATTCTTAAGGTAAAATATATTAAACAACCATGAATCGCTATAAAAACTATTATTCATTGATTTTCTTAAATTT